ACATTGTACCACAGAATTTCTCAGTTGTTTTCCTCACTGGCACACCATTTTCTAACGAATGAAGCTCTAGTTGAAAGGCTGCATAGATCATTTTAAAAGGCGAGTTTTATTAGGTTTGATAAATGTTTAGAGAAGTGGGTCTCAACCTTCCTAATGCCATGACACTTTAATACAGTTCCTCATGTTGTGGTGACCCCCAACCATAAAATTATTTTATGTTTTCCGTGTTTTTTCAAAAATGTGTTTTCCGATGGTCTTAGGCAACTCCTGTGAAAGGGTCGGTCGACCCCCAAAGGGGTCCCGACCCACAGGTTGAGAACCACTGCCCTAGATTAAAGAAGAAACAATGGATGTAAATCACAGGGAAGCAGATATGGCTTGGTTATCAGGAAAATGTCTCTAATAGGAGCTGTTCCATAATGAAACAAAGTACCTCAAGAGAGGGGATGTATTTGCTTTAGTTTGGAGGGGCTTGATCAGAGGCTGGAAGGAATTCGTTTGGGGATGGGCTACGGTGGATTCCTACAATGAGTAAAAGGTTGGACAAGATTATCTCTAAGATCCCTTCCAATGTTTACATTCTATGATAAAACAGAATTCAAATTGCCCTGACATCAATTGGAAGACTAATTCTGCACCAAGTGAGAAATCAAATAGGTTCCTAACCACCTCGCTGACAACTTTGTTGTCCAAAAGGTAGAAGAGGGAACTAGAGGGACAGCCATACTGGACTTAATTCTTATAAACAGAGAAGAAGTGATAGAGGGAGTTAGATGACCTACAAGGTCCCTTCCAACTCTGTCAATCTACCTATCTATCTAATCCATCTATCTAAATAAAGCAATATGAGTAATATGTCACCTGAACCAGGAGATGGGCGGCAAGTAAATGTGAGAAATAAAATAAATAATGTAGCCATCAATTATCAAAGTAAATTTAGACAGGTTAACCCAGGATTCAGGAACAAAGTAAATCAGATTAATAAAAAAAGAATGGATTAGGAAGCAGATATTGACTTTAGGTATATTTTTCTATATTTTAGGTTCAATATTCTTCATTTGCACCTATTCAATTCAATTAAGGCCTCCAGGAGGGGATGGTTATGCAGCTCCCAAACAAGTGAGGGAAAAACCTTCACCGCAGGCACCACGTGCTTGAAGGCAGCTTTTGCCATGGCCCAGGCTTAGACTCTGAATCTGATCTTGAAGAAGCTGCTTCAGCTGAGCCTGTGGAATGTTAGCCTGGAGAAAGACACTCAGGAATCAACTGAGGCTATTCAAATACAGGCACCACCTGAGCATGTGGAAAAGTCAGATGAGCGCATTGTAAAGCCTCTTGGGCCCTGCACATAGCAGCAACGGACTATTGCAGTGATGGCAAATCTTTTTTGGGTCACGTGCCAAAAGCGGGGGGAGCCCAAGGGGGTTGTGTGCTGGCGTGCCACACCCATGCTATGCGCGCGACACTGAAGCCTCCGGTGTGTGAAAAACAACCTCAAAAGAAGGCCGAAGTCAGCTGGCCAGCGTGCACATGCGGCTGGAGCTGACAGGGCAATGCCCCACATGCCCTAACAAATGGCTCCGTGTGCCATCTGTGGCACGCATGCCATAGGTTCGCCATTAGGTCTATTAGGTCCTTGCCAAGAAAGGGAGTAAATCTCTTGATCATGAACAACTGGCTGAAACCTTATTTCCAGCTTTGCAGGAAAAATCAGATTCCAGCTTTTGCGTGATGTTCCTGTTTGAAAAAAAAAACACAAAACCTTGAATCTCTGGAGTGGCTGACCATACTGACCATGCTCTTGGAACCCTGGATTTGGACAATTCTTCTGCACATTCATATTTCAAAGCTAGCTGTGCTTTGTTTACATCCTGTTGTTCATGGTTAACTCTTCAGCCTTGAAGTAAAATTGACAGTCTCCACAGCTCAAGTGTTTGAGTGCGTGTGATGGAAGTCTGAAGCAGGATACGTTTTGCCCAGAATACTCTAATTCCTATCAAGTTCTTCGCCCATCTTAAATAACTTATAACATGGGAAAGTAACAATTGTTTTTCTCACTCATGAAGCTACCAGTAAAATAGAGGAAGCAAGCAACCATGTTCATGCCTATTGGCATCCTTTTTATTGCACTTGTATCTAAAAGCTAAGAACACACTCACCTTGACCTTGACCTTTTTCAGTTCCCTCTTCTTCCTCTTCTTCCTCCTGATCAATTTTGGATTCTGCCTGGAGTGTCCGATTATTGTCCATGAGTGACAGAGAAGGAAGAGCAGGGGCCCCCATGGCTGGTGCTTGCATAACCGAAGAGTGAGGCTTCATTCCATGTTCAGAAAAGTGAGTGCTTTCTTCTTCCTCTGTCCGGGAACAAAAAGAGGAAGGATACCATGCACATTGGAAGGTAAGAATGTTTCCAATGGAGCACTCTAAAGCATACCACAGCAGTGTGTTGAGAGTAACTGTGGTCACTCCTTATTTCTGCCATGGGAGAGGCCTATGGCAGAACTATTCCCTGCCTCTTCAAGGGCTGCTTTATGGTTCTGCGTCTATGCGGGACACAGATAGGCTCAGAATAGACACTGTAGCTGCATTTATATGTGTCTCCATTAAAACAATGCTGAAATTAAATTCTTGTTTGATAAACAGTGCTATTTTGGAATAAACAGTTAATGTGCTCCAACACGAGACTATGAGACAAAGCCTAGCCAGAAATAGGCAGCAATTCTTAACAATCAAAGCAAGGAAATATTTCAGCCAAATGATCTTATTTTATGTTTACTCCACCTTTATTTTTGGACAACTCAAGATAGTCTACATGTCCAATGCTCAGGCCTCTTGTTTCCTCACCACAACCCTCCTATGAGATGCTCTGGACCGGCTGCCATGCCTAAGAAAGGCAGGACTCCCACTTTCAAAGCCCGCTCTTCAGCCCGTGCTCCAACTGTGTGTTGGAAAAGGAGGATCCCAGGTTCAGGCTGAAAAATGCCAAGCAGGATTGGGCCTCACTGACTTCACTTCACTTTGCCTCTGAGATTGCAAATGTGGGGGGCCTTCCGTGTCAACAGCCCCGAGCAAGAAGGATGTGATTTCCATGCAAGAAGATGGGATGGGCAACCTCTCCTTGACTGCAGGCAGTGCAGCTTCCACCTTCAGCTGGCTTGTTCTGATAGTATTGTGGCTGGAATTAGCCAAGCTCAGAGCACCAACCCTCCAACTGGCCTCTCCCCAAGCTGCCATTGTTCCTGGTTGCCAAAGGGAAACTGGATTTAATCAGATCAATCACTTAAGTGGTTTCATTTGCATGGAAGATGCTTCAAGGACCATACTGACTCCATGGCCCAACTACTTCTACTCAAAGGATTTGTTTCTACTTTTACATTTGTTTATCACATTAATCTAAATCAGGGGTGTCAAACTAGCAATTACATGTTGTTGTCACGTGATGTATCATAACTCCCCCCCCTTTGCTAAACTGGGGATGGGCGTGGCCAGCGCATAATGCATCCGGCCCATGAGTAGCAAGTTTGACACCTCTGATATAAATGATTAATATGAAGATATATCTAAATCATGAGAGGGTACAATGGCTCAATGGTTAAAGATGCTAAGCTTGTCAGCTGGAAAACAGACACCCCAAGGTTCAAGACCTGTGTGAGCTCCTGTTACCAGCCCCAGTTCCTGCCTACCTAGCAGTTTGAAAGCATGCAAATTCGAGCAAATTAATAAGTATCATGTTGGAAGGTAACAGCCTTCTGTGTGCCTTGGCATATAGTCATGCCAGCAACATGACCACAGAAAGGATCTTTGGGCAATGCTAATTCCCTCAGGCAAGAAACAGATGAGCCTAGAGTCGGACATGACTGGGCAGGGAAACCTTTCCCTTTATCTTACACCTATACTGCTCCTCTAGGAAGGAGTCAGAAGGTTTATTCCATATTCAAAGGGGTTAATTAAGTCAATTAAGCAGCAACCTTTCTTCTGTGACACAAGTTCTTGCAGGAGATATTCTGTCCCAATGGCTACATGAAATGAATCTGTGTGAAGCGTGTTATTTCTGTCTCTTTATCTTTTTTTCTGATATTAACGGAGACCATCACTAGACTTCTCTTCAGAAGTAGAAACTTAGAGCCATGGGCAGAAAAAGCTAGAGCAGAAACAGGCTGCTCCTTGCAGTGCCACAGACCCACCAGTCACGGGATCCTCCCTCACCATTATCCAGATTCAATCCTTCCGGGTCGCCTTGAATCTTCTTTTGTTCCTCAAAATATTCCAGCACCTCGAGAGGCAGCTTCTCTCCAGGCATGCGAGGAGGCAGCAGAAGGATATGGTGGTTATCGTAGCCCTTCAGCATCCGCAAAATCTGCAGTCAAGACAGGACAAACCACAAAGACTTTCTGACATGCAGGCAGGGCACTCTCAGACAGATTCCAGCTGAGGATTTGTTCTGAAATGCCTCATCCACCTAGATTATTTCTTATCTTAAAAATCCTTGTTTCTTTTTAGAAAGAACAATCCTAGATGTCACCTATCACTGTTTCATGGCTTGGGACTGGGCTCTCTCAGGGACCTTCTTCTCCCAGAGGTTTCTACCTGTCTAGTTCATTCAGTAGGTTAGGCATGGGTCTCATCAGTCAAGGAATGTGCAGATTTGTACCTTGTTCCTGGAAGGTGCAAGCACCCAAATCTATTCAGTCTAGTTTCAACTGAGCCAAAGCCCGGCTTTGCACCCCATCCAGGCCACAAATGCCTCTAGGGCACTAGGGCAGGATATCCACAGGATCCCTCAGGTGAGCCAGTGTGGAGATGTAAAGCTAGGTATCATCATCATACTGATGATACCTCACCTGAAGCCATCAAATCACCTCACCCAGAATCCTCATGCAGATATTCAATAGGGAGGGAGAGAGGACCAAGCTCTGTGGCATCCCACAAAGTAGGGGCTGTGGGCTGGACTTCTTCCCTCCATCAACACCAACTGAAAAAGACCCCATAGAAGGAGGAGAACCAGCAAAGTGCCCCCATCTCCTGAAACTAGTCCAGAAGGTCACCATAATTAACAATGCTGAAGGCCACTGGGAGGTCAAAAGAGCAGGAATGGTAGCACTGCCCTCATCACACTCCAGCCAAAGGTCATCAAAGAGCAAAATCAATGCTTTTTTAGTCCCATAATCTGACCTCAATCCTGACTAAAAGCAGTCCAAACAATTTACTTCATCAAAGATCCTCTAAAGCTGCCATATGACCACTTTTTTCCACGACCTCCCCTTAAAAAGTCCCTTGAGAAGAGGATGAGCCAGCACCTCTGTAAACTATTGAAACCAGTCCCTCCCTCTGTCAACCCTGAAACCATCTTGGAGCTTCAGTGCTGCCATATTGGAGCTGAGGGATAGGGAGTGGGGATTAGATATAGTTGGGGTTGTATAGTCAACAGACCACCAGACAGCACCTGATTGGACCATGTGACTGATTGTTTTGGGGTTGAAGGAAAAACTTTTACTTTTAATTATGTGAAAACCATGGGAACCTTCAGAGTCTGTTTTCACCAGATTCGTGCCAATATGATATATCCAATAAAGCTTTTCTTTGAGGAATTAATCTGTGTTGGAGTTTTGCTTGGTATGGGTCTATTATCTGGAACCCTGACACCCTCAAGGAAGAATGAACAACCACTCAGACCCAATCATGTATCCCTTCCCAAGTGGCCTTGACAACCAGAGGTCTTAGATTCAAATACAGGAGTGGCTGACCCCTTCAAAACCCCTGCCCACTTCCTCAGATTCAACAGGATGAAACTTCATACAGATAATTTTAAAAGACTTCACCCATGTAACCTCCACTGGTTCTGCCCCAATACAGTGAATCCAAGCAACTATATCCACAAGATGCACCATATATTCCTCACAGCAACCTTGTAGGTAAATCCCACTATTAAGCCTTCCAGGGAGAGATCAGGTCACATGAAACTGAGGGGTGGATGAAATAAGTGGCTACCAAGGCTTTGGCCAGACTCCTTCTGTCAAGCTCCTTCTGGAATCCAGTTGGGTCCATTAATCCCCTGGAATTAGCCAGTCTAATAGGACGCGCCTCCTTGCAGAAACAGGAGGTGACAGAGAACTAGAGGCTTAGCAGGGAGTGATCTGACAAAGACAGGGAGAAAGCAATGTCTCCCCAAAATCTAGAACACCCTGTCATAGTTCTGACAGTCACATGTATGACCACTATTATACAATTTGTTCTGGATAACTGGGAAGAGGCTGTTATGGTGGCCATGAACTCTGAACTACCTCAGATCCTGTTCCAGAGAAGGCAAGCTGAAGTCCCCAAGATCATAAGCCTGGGAAACTCCATTGCCAACTTGCCCATGGAGTCAACAAACTCAGGCAAGGAGGGAAGCTGGTACAATAGCAATATTGTTAAATATATGGTGTATAATCAGTTTAATTAAATTTAAATCCTCTAATCCCTTTTACTTTTGGGAGTGGACCCCAATCATTTCAAGTATGGTCCTTGACTCAAGAAAATTTCACAACCTATTCTAAGTTGTACAGGCATTGTGACATATTTGCATCCAAAAGACCTTTTAATTGCTGGTCTCAGAATATCTTCTTGAAGGATTATTTATTCAATAAATACTTGAAGTTAATCTAAACTGGTACAAATAGCTCACCCGCTCTTCTAGAAGATACTGCTGGTCAAATTCTAAGGAGTAGAACTCAATAGGGAAGCTGCAAGGGTTCTTCACTACCACTTCAGCTTCATCTCCAACGCCATAGGGAAGGAGAGGCCCCAGTTCCAGGAGGGAGGGGCTGAATTCAAGACGTGGCTCCAGGCCTTGCCCAGAGACATTCAGCAGCAGTTGCTGAGTGCTCTGTGAAATGCTCAAGATCAGGACATTGTGGTATAATTTCTAGGATGTAAAAAATAATATCATTTATTATAAATAAGAACAGGTAAAAAGGCCCCCAATTCATCTAAACCCAAAAGCCTCCTAGCTTCAGTTAATAGTGTTTGTTCAACTTAGAACAGCTGGACAGATATGGGTTCTGTCCTGTTGGAGTTAACCCAAAAGATTTGCTGTCTATCTGGACTCTTGGTATGTAATCAGTGTCTGGCCAGTCACTTTGGGGTATCATTCTCTTCACAGCATTTGAGCTCAGAATGGGAAGCCCAGCTGTTCTTCCATATAAATCCAATTTAAGAGCAGGAACGGCATGTGGACAGAATCCTGGCAGGGAAGGTGAGGAAATATCCAGGCACGATGCCTCCTTAATAAATCTACTTTGCAGATTGACTGGTTGGTGTCACAGTGGGATGGATATGGTATAGCATAGCTCTGCAGAGCTTCATGAAACCCAGCATATACCTGCCTGCCAGGAGACCCTATGGGACCAAAGCCACCCTGAAGGGATGATTGTTCTGACCTAGGCTTCCTGATAAAGCATAAATCACATTCTTAGTCCCAAAAACCCTCTTTTATTTAAATGGCTGTGAATTATGGTCATTCACACAGCCCGTAATGAATCACAAACAGTCTGTGTAAAGTCTGACAGATGTCTGCTCAAGTTGCCAAAGTCTTTCAGGGTAATATTGATAAGCACCCACCTTTTTAAAAAATATNCCACAACAATACCATAGACATAAACCTACAAACACTGCCACCTACTGGCTGAATACTGCTGTAGTTGTTGCAAAACATACATTCCAACAATGTATTCCAATACAAACGACAACACCTTGAATTGTACCTGGAAACATGGGTCAATAATTGGGCTTCTTTTGTGCAAAATCAATTTCATTCTCATAGTATGTCAAAATTGTGATAAAATTTGTTTTATTTGTTGTCTTTTTTATTTATTTTCTAATTGTTTTGTGTCCTGTGGATTTTATTCCTCTAGTTGTTGCTGACTATAAGGGCTGGTGTGACAGGAATTATATTTAAAGCATTATTTACACCCAAATGTGTTTGTAACTTTTTTTAAAAAAAGTCACGTTAATGCAATAGGATGTAGTTATGGGTACATACCATACATGGAAAATTAATTTAAACCAGAAATAAGCTGATTCTTCCATCCAAGAATTCATACAACTATGCACAAGTCTTGCATTGTAGCAATAGCACTTAGTCTTATATACCGCTTCATAGTGCTTTTACAACCCTCTATAAGCAGTTTACACAGTCAATATATTGCCCCCAACAATCTGTGTCCTCATTTTACCCACCTCGGAAGGATGGAAGCCTGAGTCAATCTTGAGCCGGTGAGATTTGAACTGCCGAACTGCAGCTAGCAGTCAGCTGAAGTAGCCTGCAGTACTGCACTCTAACCATTGCGCCACCTTGGCTCTTGTAGGAAGTAAATTGATTCTTTTTCTTACCTGGAATTTATTTTCAGGAAAAATCATATCACTCAGTGAATACCTGAACAGAAGTATTTATTATTAAACCATAGGATACATAAGGATATATATGTATATATACGAACATGTGTTTGTATAACATACATCTAAAATATCAGGTATTTTGGATGCAGTTTGATTTTTAATATCAGAAAGGAGTTAAGAAATTTTTGCAAATCAGATTTTGAACAAATGCTGCAAACGTAATAAACCAGGTTGTCAAGAATGGAAAGTTAACTGCATGTAATGGATCAGATGTACTAAATTAGCATTGGCATCTCTTAGTGGTTGTCTTAAATAAACATTATTTTCTGGAGAAAATGAATCCTATAAGCTTGTCTTGATCATGCTGTACACCCATATCTCAAGGACATGTGGTTTAGCACTTTTTATATTATTACTCATTTGGAAATGACATTGTTAGGCTGTATTAATTTAATTTTAAGGCGGTGATGATGATGGCGGTGGGAGTAATAGTTTTATTTAAAGGGTCTGTTTTGTTTTTCTTTTTTTCCTAACCATGCTCCAATTCTTGGGGAAAAAATCTGTAGGCTTCACTTGGTTTCACTGTAGTTGATAAATGAGATTTGTCAGTATAGTTGATATTCGCTGACAGAAATAAAATATTTCAGTGATGAGAGCTATGAAATGTTTGATAAATATATCAGAAAGAAGATTGGGCAACACCATCCAAGTATTGTACTAAAAGGAAATGCATGAGTTCCTATTAATTTATATGAAGTTCATTTATTAATAAACATTTCTTTCTTACCCCTTGTTGGATCAGTTGTGATTCTCAGTTTATTATAAGGAATTTGGAATGATAGTGTATGTTTTCTGGATCATTTGACCATCAATACTCTTATCTTCTGTGTAACTAAATGCTTTACGGCGGTGTTGGCGAGCCTATTCAACGCGTGCCAGAAGTGGCATGTAGGGCCATCCCACATGGGATGCACGGCCTCGCTGGCTCCTCTGCCGCATTCCTGTGCCTGCGCGAACGCCAGTCAGCTTGTCTTCGCATGCATCGAAGCGCCGAAACCCGGAAGAGCAGCATTCCTTCATGCATGCGTGCACTAGTACCTGAACTTTGGCACATGTGCGATGGCCAGCTGTTTGTCAGGCACAAGCATGTGCCAGAAACCAGACGTTCAGGTGCCAGTGTGTGCATGTGCGACGGAACACTGTTCTTCTGTGTTTCGACATGCCTGTACATGCGAAGGCCAGCTAGGCCGCGTATTCCAGGTGGGATGATTTTGCATGCCATTTCCGGCACACAGGTTGGCACATGGTGATGTAAAAGGTTAGCCTTCACTGGTTTATGGTATTCATGATAATAGTGTCATTATTATTTCTTTTTTTTCTTAATATTCCAGTGGACACTTTCATCAGCATTTTTCTCTTTGAATTTTCTCCATAGTGGTAGTAATTCTTTGTGTATAATGTACCTCCTCCACTTTTGTCAGATCTGTACTATATTTTAACCATGAGTGCAATCTCAATAGGTTTCAGTAATGTAACAATGCCATTAGTGTCACCTCATATTGGAACTTCAGGTTCTCCATGTTGGTTCCTCATATGTGAGCACAGCTGCACAAGTCTCTGACCCCTACAATACTGTCCTCCTTAGACTTGGGTACTATATCTCCTGGTTATTCTCCTCAGTGGTTCTTCATATCCCTTCTTTTCTTGTTGTACTCTCTTTGAGTACTGGGTACTGATCTTTTCTTTTCAGGTTTGATTTAATGCCTATCACCAGATGACTTGAGCAAATGTATTCCAAACACATCATTTCCAATATTTGTGAGGTGTAGCCCATCTCTCACCAGAAGGCCTTCCTGTAACAATAGCAATAGATTTAGACTTTATAGCACTCTCTCACTTGTTTACAGAGTCAGCATATCACCCCCCAAAATCTTCATTTTACCAATCTTGGGGGGATGGAAAGCTGAATCACCCTTGAGCCAGTCAGGATTGAACTTTTGGCAGTGGGCAGAGTTAGCCTGCAATGCTGTATTTTAACCACTGCACCACTACGGCTCCTTATCCATGAGTCCAGGAATCCAACGTTTTCTTGACAACTCCATTCATTGAGCTAGTGGTTCACTTCTGATCCATTCATCCTTCCCTGGCTTTCAATTAGTAGTATGAACAAGAATTTCAATTGTGCTCCAAACAGTCTTTCTTCTCACGGTCCTTCAATATTCTTTCCGGAAGAGTTCCGGAAGAGACTTCATGTTTGTCCGTAGGGCCTTTTTTTGCCCTCCGGAGCCTTCAGGGAAGCTTCAGGGAAGTCACTTCTGGTTTGCTCATAGGGTCATTTTTTGCCCTCCAGATCCTTCAGGGAAGCCTCCTGAAGTCCCCTGAAGGCTCCGGAGGGCTAAAACTGGCTGTATGAGAAAATCGGAAGTCCGTTCCTGAAGTTCCAGTTTGCACGTAGGGCCCGTTTTTCACACTCCGGAGCCTTCAGGAAATCCTCCGGAAGGCGAAAAAGGGCCTCAAAAGAAGGCCAAAGCCTTGTGTGCCCTGACAAATGGCTCCATGTGCCACCTATAGCACGCGTGCCATAGGCTCACCATCACAGTACTATAGTGTATGAATGTCAATATTTAATTAAGCAAACACATGTAAACACAAGTGTCCTCTCTTTCTTTCTCTCATAATTCTACCACACTCATACATCCAGCCATCTTCAGGTTTTTCATTAGGAGGAAACCAAGAAGTTTCCTTTCCTTCTTGGAGAAGGAGCATGGAAACAATTATTTCTTCATTGCCATCATCAACAGAAATTTAGCATTTTTAGATTGTTTGCTGACAGAAAGGGAAGAGTCCCTAGTTTTTTCTTTTGTTTTAGAGAAAATCACTGTAACAGTAATTCCCTGTAGCCTACAGATCAGTTGATGGGCAGACTCTTTGAGATTGCTCAGGAAGGAGTGGACTGTTGGTTAGCCTCACTTGTACATTTTAAAGGCTAAAGACTCTTTTTTTTAAACCTCTCTTATAAAGATGATGAAAAAAGCCAATAGACTGGTACATCAGCGTTTTTCCTTTGTAGAATTTAGCCAAAGACCACAGTTTCCCCCGGCAGCATCTGTTTCCATTTTCATGTTTCAGTTCACTTGCATATTTCCAACCAATCCTGATTTCTGAAATCCAGAAATATTAACTTCAAAAGAGAAAGAAAGACTTCAAAAGGAATTCTGGAGCAACCAGCAATTTTGCTTTATTCCAAAGATGCAAATTGTCAACACCGTTGAAAAGAAAATTGGTTGCCTCCTTTCAATTAGCACCCAATTATTCAGCAATACTATCGTTATATTTGTTAAAGAAAAACAACAACTGGTAATTTGAGAGCCTTGATAGCTTAGAATTAAATATTTAAATCATCCCCATGAAAAGTTGAGGTTTTAATTTTTAATTGTAAATGTTACAAAGCGGAAAAACCACGGAACTGCAGACATTTTCAAGAAGAAATCTGTCTTTTTAAATAACTCCAGTGACTCCTGGGAGCCA